GAGAGAGAGAGAGAGAGAGAGAGAGAGAGAGAGAGAGAGAGAGAGAGAGAGAGAGAGGGCAGCAAGTTGAATGTCCAGTTTTCTTTTTGACTCTTCAATGCGGTTACTTTTGTATCGACTTTTTTATGTCCACTTTTATATCCTCGTTTATATCCTCTTTTATATCCACTTCTATTCATTTTTCTTCTGCTGGATGGACGTTCGCATTTCACTTGCAGGGCCATGGTTCCAGTATCAGCTGGGTAAAGGGCCTGGCTGCACCACTCACCGAACTTAAAAAAAAGATGAAAAACATGGCAGGGCCGTTTATCTTTTCACGTTCCAGCGGGAGATACATTCTCATTTTGCACGATTGGGTAGCGGTACTGCAACACGCAAAATCAAAGTAGTGTTGTGGGAAGTATGGCACAACTAAAACTGCATTGTAAGGAAAAAAAAGAGGGGAAAAAAAAAAAAGGAAGGAAGAAACAACGCTGCTTGTTCAGAGAGCCTTTGATTGGATCAGCCGTTGGATATAGTACTGCATCCAGCGGCGGCAGTGAAGTGGAGGTTTTTGGATGTCCAAGGGCCTTGCTCCACTGCACGACAGTAGAAATGTGTCTGGACCTGCTAGTGGTTCCAATACATGTGAAACGGTGGATCAGTCCGAATGTATTTGGTCAAGGATTCAATCAAGGTACGTGTAGAACGTGGAGTATTGCAGTGAGGCCCCTAAAAAAGTGAAGGGAATGTGCGAGAGAATGGGGAAGCAGCAAACTTCACTTTTCGCGGCCTCAATCGAATATTATTGGTTTCTGATATTATTGGTTTCTAAAGTATTTCAAAACCACTACCGGCTCTCACCCGAATAGAACGTCGTGTCATTATAGCCGTATTTGGCTCAGCTTTCAGTCCAGATGCAGCGATAATGACCGGGCATTTTATTCGGGTAAATGGTACTACCTCACCCCTCTCTACCGCCCAGGCAACGTTTCTGCCTGCTCCTAGTACCTCTACTGCCCAGGCATCTTTTCTGCCTGCTCCACACCGGACTTTGCGCCTCCGTCCAATTCGAATTTTGAACAGCTTGTGTTGCCGGCGCTGTTTTCTGCTCTTGGGTGTTGCTGTCCACGTTTCTCCGGTGTGTTGCCATGAGGGCAGCAAGTCCATGGAAAAACGTTTTGCTCATTGTGTGTTGCCATGAGGGCAGCAAGTCCATGGAAAAACGTTTTGCTCGTTGTGTGTTGCACTTGCTGCCCGATTCTGCTCGGTAGTGTGTTGCCGTGGACGCCCAGGTAAGATGCTTGCACGCAACAGACCGTTCCTCCTCCACTTGTTCGTGTTCGTCTTCCTCCTCGCCCTCCCCCTCCCATCTTTCCTCCTCCCTCTTTGTATTCATCACCTTCTCTCCTCCATGTCCATTCCCTCCATGTCAATCATAGCTTCCCTCCTCCATGCCCATCATCTTCCCTCGTCCTCCTTCTCTCTCACCATGCCACCTCCTGTACACCGGCCTTCCCACCTCCATGTGCATCATCTTCCCTCCTCCTCCTCCTCTTCTCCCACCTTGCCATCCTGTCTCTTTACCTTGGTTGTCATTTTCCGTCTGCGGCGCCGTCACCTTTCCTCCGCCCAACAATCTGCTTGATTGGCAGAGAGACACTTCCGATAGGGGTCGGAATGGCTACAGAGGCAAATGGGAAACTTGGCCGCTGCCAGTAGGGGCGTTTGCAAAATGTTGCAAAATTTTCCGCCAAGGGTCCGATGGCAAGAAATGCATGCTGGGGCATATGGACAAGTTGCACAGGGGCTGGTAGGGGTATATGCACAAGACAAGATGGCTGGTCCAATTGTTATTTCGCAAAATTTCACAAACTGGCATATATGGGCATTGGGTCATATCCATGCCTTTTAGGGGTATCTGACGAAATATGTCCCAATTTTCAGGGGCATTTTGGCAATATTCCTAAAAAAGAGATTTTGTTTTTTTGGTTCTCTCTGCAAGGGCGGGAGGGCGGGATTGGAAAAAACGGTCCTCAAAGAATGGGATTCAGAAAAGAAAAGGTTAAAAAAGACAAAAGAAAAGTTTTTGAGGTCTCCTGAAAAAAAAAACCGGGTTTTCACTCTATCGAGAATTAATCAGGAACCGGGTTTTCACTCTTTCGAGCATTAATCAGTATATCCACGCCATGATGCTTCGAATCCGTCCTTAGCCTCTACTTACTTGGCAAGTTGACCCCAAGTCGCCTGAGTTTCTTAAGAGATTGATGTTGCCTCTAGGACCTCCCCCACTGCGCGCCCTCTAGGACCTCCCGCACTGCGCTCCCTCTAGGACCTCCCGCACTGAGCTCCCGCACTGAGCTCCCTCTAGGACCTCCCGCACTGACCTCCCTCTAGGACCTCCCGCACTGCGCTTGCTCTAGGACCTCCCACACTGAGCTCCCGCACTGACCTCCCGCACTGACCTCCCGCACTGACCTCCCCGCACTGACCTCCCTCTAGGACCTCCCGCACTGAGCTCCTGCACTGAGCTCCCTCTACGACCTCCCGCACTGAGCTCCCTCTAGGACCTCCTTCACGACACTAGTACAACTTGGGGTCAGCTTGCCGAGTAAGTAGAGGCTAAGGACGGAGTCAAACCTAGTTGACCAAGTTGGTTTAGAAGTGGATTGGAACCACTGACAAAAGGATTCTCAAATTTTCAGTTCTTTGCTCTAACCAACTGAGCTACCTCTGGGACCTCCCTCACCACACTAATAAAACCTTGTAAATGTATCTGGATGCTGGATCCTTTGTTTGTACCGATAGACTGAGAATGTAAGTCGATCGAAATGAAACTGGACAAAAAAGTATAGTCCAGATGCATTTAGAATGTCGGTGTAGTGGAGCAAGGTCCACGGTCTCAGTATTACTGTGCGAGTGTTGCGAGGTCCCCTGCCTCAATGCTCTTTGTTTTCAGGAGTAATCAGGTGACTTTTATTAAAAAAAAAAAAGAAAAAAAAGAATGGGTTGAGGAGCAGTAGCGGCTTTGATTTCGCACGGGAAGGTTTTCAGTGCACCTGCAAATTAAAAGTTTTGAAGGCGTTTCATTTTCTTTTTTTTGTTTCGTTTTTTAATTCTTATTCGTTTGGTGTTCAATCACACTTCTAGAAGAAAATTAATTCTCAAATTCTCAATCTCTTGTCCTTTTTTTTTCTGTTTTTTTTTTTTCTGTTTCGGACGTGTGCTCTCGCACGCCTCAAAAAAAAGAAAAGAAAAAAGAAAAGAAAGCTTACAAGTGCAGATTCAGCGTTGTCGAGCACATACATGGGCCACAGTTTGGAACTTGGGAAGGACGCTTTTCGGTTCAGGGGCGAGGTCTCAATTGCAAAGAGGATTGGATTTTAAATCCTGAATCGGGACGTGTTTGCAGAGATATGCAGAAAGTGTGATTGCTCAACTTTTCTGCATCTCTGCATACAACGCGATCAGATTCAAGCGCTTAAGTCGGACCTTGCCACCAGCTTATATATACTGATTGTGGGAACTACGGCCCAGTACTGAAGACTTTTTTTTTTTTTCCTTTTCTTTTTTCTTCTTTCTCAAAAGTCCAGGCTACCAGAGTGGCCCGGGACCACTTGCCCGGCTGGGCCAAAAAAAAATTGGTAAAGAATTTCGGTGCGACCCTGAGACAAAAGTTGTTCAGTTTATTTTTCTGTATAACATTTGTTTTTCAGAATTTTTTTTTTTTTTTGCTGGGACCTTCTTTGGTCCTTGCACGGCCGGGCTGCCCAGGCAAACAAGGTGATGCGGGGGGCCCGGCTGGTAGCCTATAGTAGATAATGGTCCCAAAAAAAGTGGCAGGTGCAATTGCTTGCTTCTCTCTTTGACTCCGCCGACTCTCTCCTCTGCTCTTCTCTTCTCTTTTCTTTTTTTCTTTGAAAGCATTTCTTCCCCTTTTTGTGTTTTTGGGTAACACTTCTCTTGTCGTCTTCGATCACAGGTATCTACGAGGACGGAGGATTTCATCATCGACACAATTGCCTTGCGGAGCCACATTGGTCCGGTTTTGGGCCCTGTCTTTCTCAACCCGAAGATAGTGAAGGTTTGTATGTGTCGACGCAAATCCTTGAGTGACTTAGAAACGAAGAAGGAAAAGAAAAGAAAAGAAAAGAAAGGAAAGGAAAGGAAAAATGGAAAAAAAGGAAAAACAACTTACAACTTGTTTGAACTCAACTGGGATTTTCAGGGGTTCGGCCTGCCACCCCTCTTTTTTTTTTCTTTGGCAGAATCAGCCAAGAAAAAAAAGTGCACTGTGCACAAGCTTCCGATGCATAGACACAAAGCGGTTGGCCTCGTTGTTTTTAATTCAATTTTCAACTCTTCTTCTTCTTCTTCTTCTTCTTCTTCTTCTTCTTGCATTCAATTGGATTGAGTTGAATTGAATCGAGTCTAGTTGAGTTGAATTGGATTGGATTGAATTGAATTGAATTGAATTGGATTGAATTGAATGGAATGGAATGGAATTGAATGGAATGGAATCCAATGGTATGGAATTGAATCTAATGGGGGATGGAATTGAAGTGGAATGGAATGGGATGAGATGGAATTGAATTGGAATGGAATTGGAATGGAATTGAATGGANATGGAATTGAATGGAATGGAATCGAATGGAATGGAATTGAATCTAATGGGGGATGGAATTGAATTGGAATGGAATGGGATGAGATGGAATTGAATGGAATGGAATCGAATGGAATGGAATTGAATCTAATGGGGGATGGAATCGAATGGAATGGAATGGGATGGAATTGGAATGGAATTGAATTGGCATGGAATGAAATTGACTTGGAACTGAATTGCATTGAATTGCATTGAATTGCATTGAATTGCATTGAATTGCATTGAATTGAATGCTTCTTCTTCTGAAGCAAACTGCATCCATGTGGCAGACACTCTTCTTCTTTTGAAGCAAACTGCATCCTTATGACCGATGCTCCATTCTGGGGAGAATCGGTCCAGTTCCTTTTTTTCCACCGGCAAGCCTGAAGCAAGGCAACCTCTCGATAACTGCTGCTTCTTCTTCTTCGTCTTCGTTTTTGTCTTTGTCTTTGTCTTTGTCTTCGTCTTCTTCTTCTTCTTCGTCTTCGTCTTCTTCTTCTTCTTCTTCTTCTTCTTCTTCTTCTTCTTCGTCGTCGTCGTCGTCTTCTTCTTCGTCTTCTTTGTCTTCTTCGTCGTCTTGGGGGAGTGTGCTCAGTATGAGCATGAACTGTCTGTGCAGAAGCTGTGAAAGTTCTATGGTTATGATGCATGGGTGCATAGCAATTAGCCTTCACTATTTTCGATTTTTTTTCTTCCTTGTCTTCTTCTTTTGCTTTCTTTTTGTTTCTGTTTTTTGCAGAGGGTTGAGCATGGCTGTTGTGGAGTAGCAGTTCTTGTGCTCAGGCCCTTTTGCTCAGGCCCTTTTCCCATGAACTGTCTGTGCAGAATGTGTGAAAGTTTTGTTTGTTGAGCCGGTGATGCACGTGCGGGCTAGGTTAGTGTGTTTCTCTACTTACCGGTGTTTGATTTCCTTTCTTTTTTAATTTATTTATCTATTTATTGCAGGGGCTTCCCAGTGTCCATCACACATTTATCCAACAAGTTTTTTTTTTTTTTTTTTTTTGTAATTCAAGAACTGATCTGTGATTGGAGGACTGAAAAATGCGAGAGAAAAAGAAAAGCAAAAAAGAAATAAGGAGTGGGAAAAAAAGGCGAATGACCTGTGATTGGAGGAGTGAAAAAAGTTCAAAAAACCTCTAAAGAAGGGGAGGACAAATTGAACTTGGCAGCTCTGAGCTTATGTGGCTGTCTTTTCTTGTGATCTTTGATTGGTCCAGGTGATGCACGGTTCAGATCACGATATTGTGTGGCTACAGCGGGATTTTGGCATATACATAATGAATTTGTTCGACACGGGGCAGGTGAGGTGTTTTGCAAAAAAAAAAAAAAAAAAAAGAAAACACAAAAGGATGTTGTGGAACGGCTTTTTGCCTTGTCATGTCCTCCCTGCTCGTGCTTTTCTTTTTTTCTCTTTTTTTTTTTTAATTAGTAGGACTGGAAATCGGGTTGTGTTCCTTTTGCAAGGAATATGAGCAAGAGAGTGATAGACAGAAATCCAAATTGCAAAACCGCGAAGTAGTCCAGTGTGTCGTACACCAAGCAGAAAGCACAATGCACTGAGATACAGCCAAATGAGAGCAGTACAATGAAATCAAATGCCGATGTCGACCCTCTCTCGCCACATCAACCCAGTATCCAATGTCACTCTTCCTGATGGGGGCTCGGCCCCCAGCCTCTCCTACTCAGCCTACTCTAGCCTACACTACTTTCATGCAACAGGATTCCCTTCAGTGCTGAAGACCAACGTACGTGACGACGTTGCCCATGCAGACTGCCAGCGTACACCAGGTATGCATCTCTCTCTCCTCTCACCTCACCCCTCGACTTCCCACAGTGTGCATCCCCGACACCCAAAGACCACAACCGCTGACACCCACTCTGTGCCCAGCAGTCCGGCTATGGTCGCTGTGCACCCGCTGCCACCGCAGCGTCCCTCACCTCTCAGCGCCCGTGCGCGCCCTACCTCACAGCGCTAGCCCAGCTACTCGTGCAACAATGCAGCAGTGTGGCCGCATTGCCTGCACATGCCAGATTGTCTTGTTGCTGCGCGCTCACTTTCCTTTATGGAAAGTAAGGAAAGTGATCCCTGTTGTCGTGCCCTGGGCCTGTAGCTTCCAGTCGGGCCCCCGTATCTGCGCGCAGGCCCGGTTTCAGATACTGACCTCGGCCCCGTGCAGTTAGGCACGTCCAGGTAGCCCACGTACTTGCCAGGAGCCAATGGGATTGGCTTCAAGTGTTTTGCTGCAATCCCACTGGCCTCCTGGCAAGTGTGTGACGAAGGAGTTGCATTCTCATTGGTCCATGGCAGCTGCGTGACTTGTCGGCCGCTGGATGCGTGTGCCCAGGGCCTCAATGGAATGAGCCCTGGGCTCAACTGTAAGACACAGCGACTGCTCCTGGCAAGACCCAGAGAAGGCTCTTGTTGCCCTGTAACCAACTGGCGTGGCGCAACCTCAATGGAATGAGGGCTGGGCTCAACTGTAAGACGCAGCGACTGCTCCTGGAAAGACACAGCGACTGCTCCTGGCAAGACCCAGAGAAGGCTCTCGTTGCCCTGTAACCAACTGGCATGGCGCAACCTCAATGGAACGAGCCCTGGGCTCAACTGTAAGATGCAGCGACTGCTCCTGGAAAGACCCAGAGAAGGCTCTCGTTGCCCTGTAACCAACTGGCGTGGCGCAACTGTCTGGTAACCCACATACGCAAAACGGCAAAAAGTAGGCGCCCTTGCACGAATATGCAGGCCCGCCCTTCACTAAGGGCGGCCAGGAGGCTGGCAGGGGGCCGAAGCCGAGAACATGTGTATGCCCGAGAAGGGCCTTGTGAGGGCTCAAACCTCACACTTTCATGAAGTACACACTCGACACTCCACTTTATTATGCCCTGATTTTTTGTTTGTGTTTTAATGCCCTGATATTTCTCAGTGACAGTAAGTGGTGTAAATTTTGATGCAAATAAAATTTAATAAAATTTAATAAAATTAATGAAATACTAGAAATAGTTGATTTGGGAATTAAGGATTTCGTCCAGCAGAATGAATCAAAGGACTAAACACATTACCAATAGCTAGAGCGACTCCAGTTTTAATAATGCGATTGTCCCACATCCTGCTCCAATTCATTTTTCAAATTTGGAACCACCTCCCTCCCCTTCCCCTCGTTTTTTCGGCTTTGGGTGCACCTTTTCTCCCTTGCCATCTTTTTTTTTGCCTTGGGTGGGGTGCTTCGAGGTTCTCTTTCACCCGTTTGAGATATGCTTGCTCAATGATTCTTCAGACTTCTTCTTCTTCTTCTTCTTTTTTTTTTTTTTTTTTTGACCATTTCTCGATGTATTCCCGGTCATTATCTCAACTGTTGATTGAGGCCATGTTTACACTACCGTCTTCTTCTTCTTTTTCTTCTTCTTCTTCNGACCATTTCTCGATGTATTCCCGGTCATTATCTCAACTGTTGATTGAGGCCATGTTTACACTACCGTCTTCTTCTTCTTTTTCTTCTTCTTCTTCTTCTTCTTCTTCTTCTTCTTTTTTGGGGACCATTTCTCGATGTATTCCCGGTCATTATCTCATCTGTTGATGGAGGCCATATTTACACAACCGTCTTCACTCGAATAGGCCACCCGGTCATTATCGCTGTATTTGGGGAAACTTTCAGTCTCGATACAGCGATAATGACCAGGTGTTCTTTTCGGGTGAAGACGGCAACTTTTTCCTCAATGTATCTGATGAATCTGACTGCAATTACAACCAGATCTGGATGCATCTGGCTGTAATTACATTCTGGATACATCTGGCTGTAATTACATTCTGGATACATCTGGCTGTAATTACATCCAGAGCTCAGTCGAAAAAGGCCTAGTGTGTTGAGTATACACTTGAGATTTAGAAAGCAATTCATTCCAAATTTCCCACACCTTCAATTGCACTATTATTCTGCAGCGCGAATCTGTACGCACGGTTATGGCTTTCGAGTCCGACTTATCTTCACTTCTTCACTTAGCAGCAAGTACATTGTATGTACTTGTGATCGATGCTATTTCCTCGTTTTTTTTTGGGAGCGAAGGGGGGGGGGGGGGGGGGGGGGGGGGGGGGGGCGGGCCGGGAGGGGCTCACCACCTGATTCTTCCCGAAGGAAAGGTAGCTGAATAGAAGCGATACTACCGTCTTCGCGCAAATAAAACGTACGGTCGTTATGCCTGTGTTCAGGCCAACTTTTCAGTCTAGATACAGCGATAGTTACTCTGTGCGTTCTACTCGGGAGAAGATTCTCTCGGAATTTTTGGGGAAATGTTGTTGATTACCCTTTTGCCCTTCTTGTTCCCCCCCCATATCGTCCTGCGCCCCCTCCCTTACTGCCAGTCCCGTCTTCCCTCCCTCTCTCTCTCCCTCCCTGTGCAATGTGAGCTTTTCTCACAAACCACACAGAAGAGATGTGCATAGCCAGTGGGTGGTTTTCACTCTGGAAGAGCAAGAGCTAATCGAAAATCATCTTCTCAATTCACAAGCATTGATTTAATGCCCTAATTGTTGATGACCCTTTTGCCCTTCTTGCCTTTCTTGGCTTGAAGTTGTGGTAACAAAAAACCAACTATCAATTAGTAATTACTAATTTAGTATCAAATATAATGCGAGACCTGCTGCTTCCGATCAAAAAAACATTTGAATAAAGTTATCCCCGGCAAGTTCGACGGCAACTAACATGATCTGGAGAGGAGACTTTCTCCATGGATTGAAACTTTGGGAGGTTATCAGCTTATCACCCACCATATGCTTTTCTCCTACTACTAATCGAAAATCGCCTACGCAATGATCAGTCACCACATGATTTAATGCTCGAATCACTCACCATATGATTTTCTGCTAGTACATACTACCTGCTACCTACTAAATCACTCTGTAGCTTTAGTGATGCAGTCTATTTCTGACAGCACCCGAGATGGCGATGTCAGTAGTAGGGGAACGTTTCCCGACGAGTCCGCCTCCCCCCCACTAGAGTTCTGTACTACCACCATCTTCATTCGTAGGAGGGGAATTTGAGGGGGAGAGGTAAGACTCGAATCATCATATCAAGTTCATGACTGTACCAGACTGGAAACAGTGTTTGTATACATTCATAATTGAGGTATGATGTGTTTGGGGGAAGACGGTAGCCACGCAGAGAGTAGGGTTGAGCACTTGAACTCTATGGCGAAAGGGACTTGCCTGTCGGTCTGCTGCGTTTACTAGAGGTGATTTCGGGATCGATTGTTGGGCCTATGGATTGGATTGCGGTCCCTGTCGATCACCTACCTTTACTAGAACACAACTTTTTTTTTTTTTTGGGTTTAATGCTGGTTTTCGGGCGTGTGGATTGTATACCTGATTTTGGTTGGCTGGACAGGAGTCTCATCTGCGGTTCTGATTTCCTGGATCTAATGCTCAATATGCTGTCTTTAAATCACTCTCCTCCTCCTCGTCCTCCGCCTCCTCTTGCTTTAGGCGTTCTTGGGCTTGATGTGTGTCAATTTCAGGTCGTTGTTGCAGAGGATGGTCTCTACTTTGATCTGTCCTACGTAAGTTGCAGGGGTCACCTGATTGCTAACCAGATTGGGATATGCATCTGATTGTCACGTGTGACATGTCATGTGTATTTGTTTTCCCCCCCGGTGACAGGCTGCTAGAGTCCTGCAGTTTCCATCAGCTGCCTTGAAGTATCTTCTTCAGCACTTCTGCGACTTGGATGTCGATAAGCGGTATGGTCTAAATGTTCACAATTCCTCCTCCTCCTCCTCCTCCTCCTCCTCCATGTTGGTGCTCCCTCCTACCCCTCCTCTTTGTCTGTCTGCTCTCTGTCCTTGTCATCATCCTTCGTTCTCTCTCTGCTTTTCCTTTATGTTGGCCGTTGTCTTTCTTTTCTGTCTTCACTGATTTTGGTTGTCGTCATTGTCATCCTTATCTTGTCTTTGTTCGTCTGCCTTTGATTTTTTTTGTTTTTAAGTTTTTTTTTTAAATATTTCTCGGCCTTTTGGCTAAGATCAAGTGTAGTATCTGTTCTGATCAGTTTAATATCTGATCCGTGCTCCATCGGACCACACTTAAAAAATATATATATATATAGTTTTATATGTTGTTTTGTTATCCTGTGTCCGATTGCCTTCAGACTCTTCACCTTCAGTGCGTAATCACACTCTGACATTCTGGACTCACCTCTGGGTGTAATTGTGGTCATATACATCTAGATGACATTCTGGACTCACCTCTGGGTGTAATTATGGTCATATACATCCAGATGACATTCTGGACTCACCTCTGGGTGTATTTGTGATCATATACATCCAGAAAAGTAAGTCCTTGTGTGACCATCATGCTCGTAGTCTTTGTCATGTTTGTCGTCTTGGGAATTCCGATTCCCTTGTTCTTCATGTTTGTCTTGATGCGACTCTCCTCTCCGTCCTCGTTGCTTCGTCTCCTGTGTCCTCGTCTCCGTCTATTCTCCATCCTCATTTGTGTCTTTCTCATTTGCCCTCTTTTCCTTCCTCCTTGGTTTTGTCTTTTCCCAATCCACTGGTGTGATTAACTCTCCATAATGCACTGATAAATCCTTGGTTTTGTCTTTTCCCAATCCTTTTTTGCTGTTTGTGGTTTTGTTTTCTTGTTAGTTACCAGTTGGCAGACTGGAGGATTCGACCCATACCGGCGGAGATGATGAAGTGAGTTCAATTTCGTTTTTATGAATTTATGTATGTGGCGAAGCCGCAAAATGTGAGCAGAAGGGAGGTCAGGAGAGATGGCGGTTTCTTTTATATCAGCAGTTTTGTCTCCTCCTTTTTTTTATTTTATTTTATTGACTAAAGCCTAATGAAATATACTTACACTAGGTCTTTTCTACTATTGTCTGGACGAAATTGGGGTTGGATACGTCCTGGTCCGACTGTAAATGCGGTCAGATGCATTTAAGATAGTGCTAGTGTGAGTGGGCTCTTAGTCTGTCTATAATGCCCTGCATGGTGGGCGCTCATGCTCATGAGGACAAGTCTTTTTTTTTTGTTGTTGTTGGTGTCCACGTGTGTATCGGCATCTATGTATGCAGACATTGCAGAGGAAAAATATAAATAAATAAATAGTGCTTGTATTCCCATGGCTTCGTCTTCCGCCGAATACAACATACGGCCGGTATAGCCGTATTTGGCTCACCTTTCACTCCAAATGCAGCGAAAATGACGGCACGTTTTAATTGGGGGAAGTAGGCAACCCATGAATAAAGTCCTCCACCCATTAAACCCTAAACCCTAAATTTTTCTTGTCTCCAAACCCTAATCCCTAAGCCCTGAATCCTGAACCCTAAACCCTAATTCGTAATATCGAACCCTAAACCCTAAACCCTAAACTGTGAATGGCTCCACTCTATTGCAGGGACCATCACTCCGCTGCAGCTTAACCGCTGTCAAGCCGAAAGATGGACAAGATATAAAAGTAGTGAGTCGCGAACCAATGAGCCTAGCTCGGTTGATACACCCACGAGTTGTTGAAATGCAAACCCAAGTTCGAATCCAGATGAATGACATAAAATACTTCTGAATTACCTCGGGCCAGGCAGTTCGCAGTGAGGATACCTCAAGGCTGTCGCTTCTTCTTCTTCTTCTTCTTCTTCTTTTTTTTTTTTCTTTTTTTTTTTTCTCCGAGTTGCGGAACCGGCATTTACCCTGAAGGGCTCTCTTTCCAAACACCGAAAATAAACTATGAATGGCATCAATCTATCGCAGGGACCATCACTGTCCTCCGGTTTATCCACTTTCCATGGACAAGATCAACGAGATCTGTTTGACGATATATAATAGAAGTATTGAGCCGCGAAACAGGTGTAAAGTTGTAGACCGTGAAGAGTTCTTTCTAAAACCGAAAAAAACAAAAAGACAAGTGTTGAATGCTGGGCTTTTCGTCCGTCTTTCTCTGCAACCAAAGAGCAAGAGCATCCTCAGAGCAAGGGGAAGGGACTAATAAATACACAGGGCAGGGTGTCCTTCGGGACATTTGTTAAAATTGGAACGATATGGAGAAGATTTGCATGGCTAAAAAGTGAATGAATAAGTAAAGAAATATACACAGGGTGTATCTAAGGTTTATTTTCTAAAGCTTGCCAGCCAGCCTAACATGTTGTGTAGTAGTATGGATATAATTTTTTTGAGCTTTCCGCGGGGGCAACTTGGGCAAGCAATGCTGAGCATTGCTTGAATCTGTCCTTGGGGCGGGTGCTTTGTCCGTCTCCAAGCTTTTAGTTCAGCAATGATATTCAGCACTCTGCGGCGTCACCAGTGGGATCGAGGAAAAAAAAGAAAAAAAACACGTTTTTCAATGGTTTTTGACGTTTTTTTTTCCCACTTTTCTGAGAATGGTTTTATGACTGCAGGTATATCAGATCATTGTAGAAGAACAGCGCCTTGCTGTGCCATCCTCTGCACACTTTTCATCCTTCATCTGCTGCTCTCTTCTAAGAAGACTCTCGGAAACTTCTTGCCTTCTGAATGGGCCTCGCATGCGCTCCAATGCGACGTTGCAGTGTTTGATGGGGGCTAATTTGTTCTTGTCCTGTATTTGACTACGTAGGCTCATCTGTCTTGTTCTTAGGCTGGCTAATACAGGGATAATTATCCCGCGTTTGCTTGAAACCTGACTTGGACGTAAAAATGATGTTTGCTTTTCTCTGTGGGTTGCAGCAGTTCTTGAAAAGTCTTGATGCCACTTCTTCTTCTTCTTCTTCTTCGTCTTCTTCGTCTTCTTCGTCTTCTTCGTCTTTGTCTTCTTCTTCGTCTTCTTCTTCGTCTTCCATCACGAAATGTAATGATATGGCAGTGGCTCCTTGCACACAGGGGAGCGTTGTATGGTTTCTTTGGTCATCGACCAAAGAGATAAAGTACAGAAAATAGTAAAATGCCCACTCTTTTCCCCATTGATGCTAGGAGACCCAGGTTTGTACGACTCTTACATGTCCAAGGCCACGAAGTGGCAGCGACACCAGTTCAATCTCATTCGATCGAGTTGGATAAAAAAGAGTGGCAAACACGAACTGGTCCGTTCCACCAAGAGTCCATTCGACGGTGACCTAATTTACTGGAGTCTTAGGTTACAGAAACATTTGAACGTGGTTGTTGCCTTTATTTTCTGGTGGGTCTTCGTCTGCCGACGATTGTCAGCACCCATTCTGCATATGTTTCTTGTGTTAGTTAAGGCTTCAAGATTATTATGAACAATGCGAAGGTATTTGATCAAAGTTGACGTTTCTGAGAATCCCTTGCCATTTTTCCACACCTGACAGCTTTGTAATCTGGTCTCGCAATTTGCTGTCATGGGTTTTAATTTCCTTTTCAGGTATGCGCAGTCAGACACCCACTTTCTGCTATACATATATGATCGTCTGAAGGAATTGCTGATGACCCAGTCCATCAACCCGCCTCCTAGAGAAGGAGCCCCTGCAGTGGAGGGTATTCCCCCAAAGGGAGGCGATAAACCTACGGCTGATCTTATTCTAGAGGTACGTGTTATGAACATTTATTGAGCAGTCAGCAAAAGCAGATTTACAGCTGAGGATCTATTGGCCCCTCGTTTTTTTCTTCTTCTCCAGCCTCCTTCGTGTTTTTTAGTAGTTTGGTCCTCACATAACTTTGCCTACTTTCATCGTTTGCTGCAAGCTTCAAATCCGTGGAAAAAATTCAAAAGTTAAAACTTTAACCTGAATGCATGGTTGGCTACATTTCGTCACGTGTTCCTCTCCCAAACTGGCATCTGGTGGTGTGCTTCGTATAATGGCACTGCCCTATACGAAGTGGCACTGCCCTCGCACAAACTAACATCTGTAAGGGTCTATAGACTCTATACATGATTGGGTGGAGTCTATCTGGGTGTAACGAAGAACGGGAGCAGGTGGGCTGGAATGAGTGTGTCACTTTTTGTGTTAGGTGCTTGGGGGTTCATCTGTAAGGCTGTTCCATTGTCTGTGGAAGAAATGGATTGCTTCACTCTAGCCAGTTGCAGGTGGGAGCAGGAACAGTACCCTCACAGAATGCTGGCAGCAGGAACAGTTGCCTTAACCCCTTGTGTCGTTTACCCTTGTGTTGTGTACCCTTGTGTCGTTTACCCTTGTGTCGTTTACCCTTGTGTCGTTTACCCTTGTGTCATTTACCCTTGTGTCATTTACCCTTGTGTCATTTACCCTTGTGTCGTTTACCCTTGTGTCGTTTACCCTTGTGTCGTTTGCCCTTGTGTCTTATTCTCGTGTTCCTTACCCTCGTGTCTTTTTTGCATGGTTGCCCTGGACCCCTGCACTGGACCAATGCAGATGTCTGGCTGCATGGTGGTCCAGTTTGATCCAGACGTCCAGTTATCTGGACAAGAATCCGCACATTTGCTGGACATCTGGAACTGGACGGTTCAGATGTCTGGATTCAATGTGGATTGGAAAAATTGAAAAGGTTTTCAAACTGTTCTTCAATGATTATATGATCTGCAATGCACTGTTTTGCACATGATAGTGGACCGAAGCACACTCAAGTACACTCAAGTAGAGTACCAGTACTACCAACTGCAATTGGTGGTGCTCACCAATTCCAGTTCGGTATTTGATATCAGTTCATACTACTACATCGGATTCACAACATGACAGGTTTCAACCTCACCTCTGTAACAGTCTGAGCGAGATGATGTGTCTTGTGTCTTGCCATTGTGTCTTTTAAACCCTGTGTCTCACCCTTGTACCTTTTACCCTTGTGTCCTAGCTGAGTGGTGGTGGTACGTGTTCTGGATGTGGTCTGCGTGCAGGTGCTGACACGCAGCCGAAATCTGTGTCTGATGCAATATTCAAAAGAACTCTTCACTGAGACATCATACCTCAAGTTCTACAAGTAAGGCAGTAAGCGTGTCGTGTGTGGCTCTGAGGTTTCAGGATTCTCTCTGTTTTCTCCATACCTTCAAAAATAAAATTTTGCCATGCCAGGACTCATCGGTCAGCCTGAAGACCGAGATATTGTTCGTCCTTGACATGGTGTCAGTAGTACTCATGCCTTGTGCTGCAGAGGTCAGCTGATGATAACATGTGTACATTTTGTGTGTCTGTGTGTGTGTGTGTGTAGAGAGAGAGAGAGAGAGAGAGAGAGAGAGAGAGAGAGAGAGAGAGAGAGAGTCTCTCTGTTTGTGTGTGTGTGGACGGCAGGATCGTGCACCATCATGCTATCTTCTCCTGAACACAGCGCAAACAGATAACCACTGCATACAAGGTATCTTTCTAGTCCGGTGCAGCCATAAAGAGGGTGCATTGTGTTCAGGGGGCTTACACGCAGCCTCATCGAATGTATAGAGCTATCTTTCCGGTCCGGTACAGCCATAACGAGGGTGCGCTGGCACATACGTTATGGATGCAGGCAGCACATTTTCACGTCTGGCCTGACCTACTTTTCGCCCCTGTAGGTCCTGGCAAAGGTTTTCAGGGCCCACAGACCCTGTCCCTCTGAGCCTTCACCAGACCTAAACTCTGTAGATCCAGAGCCGGTATTCGTAGACGAATGGAATCCACAGTACAGCGGCCGCTAGAGTGGTGGTGGAAGGATGAATTGTATATAGGTCCTGGCAAAGTTTTTCAGGGCCCACAGACCCTGTCCCTCTGAGCCTCCACCAGACCTAAACACTGCAGATCAAGAGCCGTTATTCGTAGACGAATGGAATCCACAGTACAACGGCCGATTGAGTGGTGGTGGAAGGATGGATTGTGTATATGTGCTGCTTGGACTATCAACTAGAGGCGTGCGCTTCGCAAAACAACAAACGGAGAAAATCACAGACAGCGTGACGCAATCTGAAGCCGTTCGTTTGCCTTTTCCTTGCTCGGGCTTTTTTTCACGTTTTTTTCTTTCATTTCTTCTTTTGGCTTCCCCTTACTGTGCCCCTCACACACGAAAGAAGATGAACTATGCTTCTGTCTTGGTTTAGAAAAGATTAGCCGTATTTTACGCTTTTTTGTGGAGGATGAACCAGAGTGCTGTTGTCTATGATAGAAACGAAGCTACTTCTTGCGGCAGAGTACCTTTTTTTTTGCAATGGGGAAAAAAGACGCTGCTATCCATTGCAACTTTTTCAAGCAGTGAAGTGGCTGTTAGAGGTTTGAAAGAGGGCTGTGATTGTGCAGCAGCTTTTTCCCCCCCTTTTTCACAACTCTCAAATTTGACCCCAACTTTGGACACAACCCCCGTTCCCTACCCCTAGTCCTCGGCCTCCCGGGAAAAAGAAAATGTTAAACCGCCAATATACCATGGGCCTCCCTTTTTCCGATCCTCAAAACACCATGCGGCTAAGCCCTACTGAGCCTCCGAACCCCAAAAGACGCCCTGCGCCTTCTACCCTCGAAGGACGTGGCGCGTTAACAGCCACGCTGGAAAAATATTAGCAGCGCGAGGTACTGGTGGTTAAAAAACTTTCAAAAAGTAGAACAGTGCATAACCAATAGTGGAGACACCTCCCGGGGCTTCTGGAGTTCTTTTCTTTGTCATGCTGTTTGAAAAAGGTAATTGAAAAAGTAGTAGTAGAATAGTATACTAAGTAGTGAGTATGGATTGAATTTGTCACCCTCTTTAGGGATATACAAAAATGGTGTGTGCTTGGCAGATCTTTCGGGGGCTTTTTCAGCCCCATTGCGAAGTCAGCGGAGAGCATTCCTGCCTTGTGGATGAGTTGCAGACAAGTCCATCATCATCATCGAACTTTGTGTGGTCCACTTTTCTTCCGTGGGCACACCCACTTTACAACTTTCCTGGATCTATCTGAGGACGATTTTTTACCACAATCCCGACCGGATTCTGATTGAAAAAGGCTTCTTATGATGATGAGTAGGTGTCTTAATGCATTGATATGTTGCTGTGTTTTGTAAAGTGCTTTTCTAATGAGGACACACCGGCACTACGGCTTTCCTGAATCTACCTGACGAATTTGACCATAATTATGACCGGATTCGAAAGGAACGTCTTCATGCATTGATTTGTAGTTGTGTTCATGAAGCGCTTTTCTACCAAGACGCAGGCGCACTCTGACTTTTCTGAATCTATTTGACGAATCCTGACACAATCGCTACCAAAAACTGATGGCAAAGACTTCCTATGATGGGTAGGTGTGCGATGCCCTGATTTGTTGCTGTGTTTCATGCAGGATCCACTCTCGACTAGTCTACAGCAAATGCCGCCTGTCTGTCAGTGCTCAATGGTATAGCCTTATGCAACCAGTGAGAGCTGAGAGGGGAATCTCCTGCATTGCGGAATGAGTACCTTGTTGTGGTGATCTCTCTGACGCTTTCTCCTGTGTTGCAATTCTTTCTCTGTCTGAGCAGGAAATTTAAATGCAAGCTCAAGCCGGACAGCCTTGCTCTGCTGGCGGTAAGTATAATGCACGTGTGTATGCCCTGCTGTTAAGTCAATGGGACTAGTCACGCCACTCGCCATCCGACAATGTTTTGAATGCATCTGGACATGCACTTTATACCAAGTGCATTCAAAATCTTGGTGGATGGTGCATTCAAAACGTTGGCGGATGGCGAGTGGTGCGATTAGGCCCTATGAATGAAGAAAGATTAAGTGAATTGAGGATGGTGGCTATGAAACAACATCAAATCCTCTCAATAAACTCTGGCGAAGAGAGCGGAGGCACTTTCTGGACCCCCGAAGAATGAACTTCGAAGCAACTTAGAAGACAAGCATCTGTATACTTATGGACAACTGACCTGTCCAAACCAGGGCTGTGCAGGCAACCGGTCGGTTGGACCGGGCTGGATCCAACAGGAATTCCGGTTGGGCCAAAAAGTGGGTCTTTTTTTTATATATATAAAGCGTGGTCGGACTGCGCTGGCTGAGATCTCCCCGAATCCGCAAAGAAAACTGTGAACAGAGAAGTTTCATTCTATGGAGAGAGAGAGAGAGAGAGAGAGAGAGAGAGAGAGAGAGAGAGAGAGAGAGAGAGAGAGAGAGAGAG